TCCTTCCTTCCTTTCTTTTTCTTCCTTCCTTCCTTCCTTCCTTCCTTCCTTCTCTCTCTCTCTCTCTCTCTCTCTCTCCCTCTCTCTTGCAGTAACCAAAAGGACATTCTGTCAGGTAAGAATCCCCAAGGAAGAAGAATGGGTTGTGTAATGAAAGTCTGCCTATTGACAGACAAGGCTAAATGACGGAGAAGCCGAAGGGCTGAACGGAGCAACCCACCCTTCCTTCAGCCTTTGATGACAACGTCCTTTCAGCACCAGCCGCCGTCTTTGTTCTGTGGCTGGCCTGTTGTTTCGGGTGGATCCCTCGGGAGAAGCTTGCGATTAAAAAGTAAACTCCAGGTAGGGGGGAAAAAAAGCCATCCGGAGGGCCGCATCTGACACACACACACAAGAGTCGGCTTTTAAAAAAGAGAGATTGTGGTGTAATTTGGCATCGTTCAATTGTTGTTTGTCCCTTTTCAGGAGCTGCTCTCACAGGAAACGTCCACATGGGAAGGAATTGGAAAAAGTTCTCCAGGAAAGTGAAAAGCTTTTCAACGAGGGATTTGGGTTTTTCCCCTGGCGCTTCTGTGGCCGCTCTGCCCACATATAAAAAGGGGAAGATTAAGGGCTTGGTTTATATTCTACCAGGGCTGTGTGGAGCCCTCTTCGAGCTGCACCAGCTCTGACGGGGGTGGAAATTTCCCCTACTGCAGCTTTGGTGGGAAGCACGAGAGGTTCCCAAACCAGACATCTGTGGTGATGCAGGCCACGAGAGGAGCCCCCCCCCCAGCTTAAAAACAGCTCATTATAACAGGGCGGAGTGTGGAGGCCTTTAATTTGAGTTGGCCCCGGATAAGGAGTGTCAGGGTCAAGCTAAAGTCACAAACAACCTGTATCTGCATTGCAATATAGGACAGATATCATCCAATCCAGATTTCCCACGGCTTCTTGAATTAAAACTGGAGGTTTCAGTTGACTTAGAAATGAGCCCTGAATTGGAGAGGCAATCTTCCTCTTCTCCTTCTTTCTCCTCCTCCTCCTCCTCTTTTACCGATTCAGGGTCTTGCTCGCCTGGTGGCTTCAACCACTGTTAATTGATATTGTTATAGTGATCTAATTAGATCCGTACTGATGTAGTGCCCTGCCACCAATTCAGATTCCTGGCTTTGGCCAGGAAATCCAGAGGTGCCAGCTGTGTCCCAAATGTGGGAAAAGAGGCTAATGTTACATCTGCAGCCCATTCCGAGGAGGAATTCGGGCTCCTTCCAGAGAGTATAAAAACCAGGATTTATTTATTATGATTTGCAAATCATCAGTATTGTGGCCAGTGTCACAATGGCTGGTAACCTAATGGGCAAATTGTGTATCTCTAAGACACACGGTGTCCTAACTACAAAATAATCAGCCTTTAGAGAGCTCGTAAAATCCTCAGTACTTCCTTAAACGGCTATCTAAGTATCCGGCTGGCTAGCATTGACTTAATGATATATACAGCTAGGCCTCCACAATACAAATTAAACTGCAATATATAAGTAGATCTGGTTGCTTCTGAGAAACGTTTTACGTGGTTTTGTTTACCAAATGCTGCTATAATCTGTTCTGTGGTGAGGAGATATATTACTATAAGCCCATCGGGGTGCAGCTTGCAAGATATGATAAGAATTCAATTCCATCCCGTGATCCATCAATTTCCTCTGCTTTCGTCATGCTTGATTTAGTTTTGAAGCTTTTTAGTGGATGTCTAACAGTTTTGAGACCGGAGAAAAGTGATTACACTTAATTGGCCGAGACTCATTCGCAGATAAGGGGATTTTCAGTTCAGTTTTCCAAATCTCTAGTATTAGAAGCACACTGTAGGAAGTAAGTGAATCAGAATTCAACTTTATAGATTTGGCCTTGGTTATCTTAAGCGTCTACTAATTCAACTCTTAAAAGTGTCGTCTGCCCTGTGACATTTCCAAGGAGGACTAGATACGTTGAGAAATTTACTATCCACTGGAATCTCTGTCTTTAAGGAAAGAAGACTAGAGAGCCTCCCAATAATCTTTTTTTTTTAATCTTTTATTACCACTTTGAAAATGTAAAGCATTTCAAGACAGACAATCCCTACTGTTCTGGGTTCTTTATTTTATTTTTTACATAACGGATGGCTTAGATCTTAGCAAGGTCAGGACTCGGAATTATCCACCTCATTATCTGAGAATAAAGGAAGAATATTTATCATATTCTCTTTTTGAACTGTGACCAATCCTTCAAAGAAACAGACTATAACATCTCTTCTGCCATAAATTAAACAGGGGGAAAAAGGTCAGGTACAGTCTTCTTATCTTACAACAAGACATTATAACTTGATGGACAAGTTAAATGGAAGCGAGCCAAAAGGAAAAGAAAAAAGGAGAAGAGAGGCAGCCTGTCAAAGGGAATTCTTGGTCGTGCTGAAGTGAAGAGATTAATCTNCTCCCAGAATTCCCCAGCCAGCGAATGCTGGCTGGGGAATTCTGGGAGTTGAAGTCCAGGACATCTTCAAGTTGCCAAGGTTGAGAAACACTGGTTTAGACACATAAGCCGCATCGCAAAAGCTCTTCTCTTCCCACCTTGCTAGTTCTCCGTCTTCAGAACCTCCATTGAGAGGCCCGGAAGAGATCCTCTCTGCTCTACAATGGATTGCTCCTTGTAAATAAGTAACCGCTAGTGTTACCCAAACTCCAACTTGGCGTTGAATGATGAAGGTCTTGACCATCTTCTGTTTGACATCTTCTGAAAACTGCTATCACTTCTTTCCCCCCTCCTCAAAAAATTACCTTCTCAGTTCCTTTTATCTCTTCTCACAAGACTTTCCAGGCCTCCTAATCAATTCATTGTTGCATTTTTATATTCCAGTTTGTCTGAATACTTCTAAAAGGAGAGTGCCAAGAATTCGACACAGTATTCAATAAAGGGGGGGGAGGGGGTGTCTCATTAATATACTGGTTCCCTTGATTTAGAAACCCTCTGTCTGTTAATTATCCCAAATATTATTTGCTATGACTTGAGTATCTATATATGTATAAAAACATTTAGTTTAACAGTCTGTTTTCCCCCTTTCTAAACTTGTGTGCCTATCCGTTCTGGTTTCCATAATCTGAGCCCTTAGATCAGGGGTGTCAAACTCACATCGTCATGGTGTCATCACACGGCGTAGCACAACTTTTTTCCTCTTTGCTAAACCGGGTGTAGGTGTTGCCAACGCGTGACGCATCCCACCCATGAGCCGCGAGTTGGACACCTCTGCCCTAGATCAATATTCAGAAGCTCCAGAGTCCCATTCAAGTATCTGTTACCCCAATTAAATCATGGATATATTGTATAATTTAGATAAATTCTATACTTCATCATGTTTATCTTCTGTAAATGGGGTGTGTGTGTATGTGTGTGAATTAGAAATAACATTTTATTGGACAGCTCTGAGAATTAATTGTTACATTTTGAATTTAATTTAAGCAGATGAGGAGGTAAGCAATGAACCCCTACACCTTAGATTGATCTGTACCCACTGATTTACTAGAGAATGTAAAAACACTTAGCTCTCCCTGCTTTATCACACACATATCCCTTACGCAGCGTGGGTAAAATGTACTGCTCTCTTTCAAAGCCTTTGTAAAAATTATGGAAGTGCTTATAACAGCTGCAATGTATATTATGAATGTAAAGTAGGGGCTAAAAGCAGTTTTAAAGGATCTCGCATTCAAGGATTTCCTAGCGTGAATTGTGATGATTCTTTCTCCAGCACGCCATGATGCTTCCTGTCCTAACGCACCACATCCGTTACCATCAGTGCCTGATGCATTTGGACAGACTAATAGGCTACACTTTTAAAGACCGGTGCTTACTGCAGGTGAGCTCATGTTGACAACTGTGTACTTCACAATAGGACTAGTGTACTAAGGTGGGATAAAATGAAGGGAACAGGAAAGAAATGTATTGGTATCTTCCGATTGGCGTTTAAACCCATTTGCTCTCCAGATGTGTAGCCTTCAGTTCCAGGATTCCCCCGTCCTCCTCCAGAATCCAATTCCTTCAGGGAGATTGCTGTAGATAATAAAGCCTAGATCAGTGTTTCTCAACCTTGGCAACTTGAAGATGTCCTGGACTTCAACTCCCAGAATTCCCCAGCCAGCATTCGCTGGCTGGGGAATTCTGGGAGTTGAAGTCCGGACATCTTCAAGTTGCCAAGGTTGAGAAACACTGATCTAGATTGATAACAAAATGCTTACAAGGTTGAGAAACACTGATC